GCACCCACCGGTTCTTCATCACGTTCACTCCCGGCGGGCGTTCGACCAGCTCCCACGTCCCCATGGCGATGAGACTGCGGATCTCCTCCTCCATGGCGGCCTTCACCGCCGGACCCTTCCAGCTCGCCAACGCCTCCTTCACCGTCATCGTCGAGATGTCCCAGCGGTGCTCGGGGTCGGCCAGCATGTCGGGGTCGAGCTCCGGGAACTCTTCGTCCTCGTCGGCGTCGTCGTACAGTAGGTCGTCGTCCTCGTCGACCACGTCATACACCGTGGTGAAGGCGGCGGGAACGAAGAAGTCGGGAGGCCTCCGAAGTCGACCTGACTTCCGGGGTTCAGGCGGGACCACCACCACGTCCCAGTCGGTGGACTGGTCGACCACCTTCGGATCGACCGGCTCCTCGTCGCCCAACTGCTCCCCTTCATCTTCACCGCCGTCCTCGTCGCCCTGCTGCACCTCGGTCGGCTTCCCGGTCGACTGCTCCCCTGTGGTCAGCTCCCCTGTCGACCGCCAGGTCGCCGACTGCTCCTGGGTCGACCTCGTTGCTGCCTGCTCCCCTGTCGGCTTCACCCAAGTCGGCTGCACCTCCTCGACCTGCTCTTCCCCTATCCAGGTCGACTGCACCCCCATGTCGACCTGCTGCACATCCCGTCGGCCACCGGCGATGCCTTTGGTCGGCGCCACAGGCGAGCAACACCCCACTACTCCCCTCATCGCCGGAGGCCGACGGCGGAATCAGCCCACGCAGGTCGACGAGGGGAGGGGCAGGGGAGTGAGAGGAAGGGTGGACGACCCCGACGTCGTCCTCAGCAAGCTCACCGACCTCGGCAAGCAGAGGGAGAGTTGCCGTCGAGGTATCCGTCGGCGTGGCCACCAGCATCCACCCAGACGTCGGCCCATGCTCTGACTTCCACTCCTCCAGCGACAGGTCCTCGTAGAACACCACGTCCGACGTGGTGACCACCCGGTTGGCAGCAATGTCGAGGAGCTCCCAGCCCTTGCTTGCCTCCGACACGCCAAGGTGGAGGCCCCATTTGGCTTTCGGCTGCAGCTTCCCACCACGCTGCTGCTCGGGGACGAGGAACTGCGCCATGCAGCCCCACACTCGCGCCAGTGACAAGTCGGGCTTCGTCCCGGTCAGCAGCTGGGATGGCGTCGTCCCCGGCGTCGCCGACCGCTCCAGGCAGTTGCGGATCCAGACGGCCTGCCGCAGAGCGAGGTGCCACCAGTGGTGCTGCACGCCCATGTGCAGCAGCATCGTCCTCACCGACTCCACCACCGTCCGCATCTCCCTCTCCGCCATGCCGTTCTGCTGCGGGGTGTAGGGGCAGGTTAGGTCGTGGACGATCCCCTTGCCGTCCACGAAGGCGGTGAAGGCCTTGCCGAGAAACTCCCCTCCTCGGTCAGAGCGTAGCTGCAACACCGACTTCTTCGTCTGCCGCTCCACCAGCACCAGCCACTTCTGGAACTCCAGCAGCACATCCGACTTCTTGGCGACCGGCCTCACCCACACGTAGCGGGACTTACGGTCCTTCAGCAGCAAGAAGTACAGGCTGCCATCCTTGGCAGCCACCCGGAATGGCCCACACAGGTCGATGTGGACGACGGCTAGCACGTCGTCGGCGTCGGAGCCTTGGTCGGGGAAGGTGTGCCGCGCCAGCTTCCCGCCGACGCACGAGACACACGGTGAGTCGGCGCCCGTCGCCGACTTGAGGTCCAGCCCAGTGGCGACCTCGTGCTTCGCCGAGCTCCGAATGGTGTCCATGCCGACGTGCGCAAGCCGAGCATGCATCCTGCTCGGCGTCGACTCCGTCTTAGAGACGATCGCCCGCAGGGCCACAACCTCCGGCGTGGGCGACGTCGACCTCGTGGAGCAGGGACGCAGGTCGGTGCAGAGGACTCGCCCGGAGTACGTCGCCCGACCGAGCACCTCTCCTGCTGCCGAGACGAGCAGCATCCCGTCGCCGTCCTCCCGAAACTTCACGCCATGCTCCTTCAGCTGGCCGGACGACAACAGGTTCGCCCGCACACCTGGGACGTACAGCACGTCGGGGATGAGAACCTGCTTCCCGGCCTCGCCTTGCAAGGCGACCGTGCCCCGGCCCTGGACGTCTTGCAGCGCCCCATTGAAGCCACGTACGTGCTTCACGTCGCCGCTCGGCCCCAGGTCGACGAAGGCGTCCTTTGTCCCCATCAGGTGGTGAGAGCAGCCGCTGTCGAGCAGGACCACCGCCGGGTTAGCCTGCACAGCTGCCGCCACCGCCTGGAAGTCCTCGCCAGCCTCCGGCGCCAGTGAGACAGTCGGCTCCACGACGCCGACCAGAGAGCACGACGCCGACTTGTCGCCCTGCCCCTTGCCGCCAGCAGAGGAGTCGGCGTCCTTCGCCGAGGTCGACGACTTGGTCGACTGCTTCTCCTTGCGCGGCTGACTTCCTCCTCGACGAGGTCGACGACTGCCAGACCTCCCGCGGCCTCCCTTGTCGTCGTCGTCCGAGTCACTGCGGTCGGGGCACTCGAAGGAGAGGTGGTCGGGGTCACCGCACAGCCAGCACTCCCGACGTCGACTTCCTCCTCCTCGGCCGTTGTCCTTGGACGACTTTTTCTTTTCGACTTCCTTGGCCGACTTCGAGCCACTGCTACCACCGCCGCCAGACTGTCCACGCTGCCCCGGTCGACCGCCTTGCTTCGCCGGGGCGACGTAGTTCACCTGCGCCAAGAGCTCTTGGGACCGCTCGGCCTCCTGCATCGCCTCGTCCTGCAGGATGTACGAGGTCAACGTGTCCTCGTTGAGCGTCGCCCGCGTGCTCGGCGCCATCGACAGCCGCTTCAGCAGGTTGTAGCTGCTCGGAAGTCCCTGCATGACATGGGTGATGTACGACGCCGTCGAGTACTCCGCACCGGCCATCCTGATGGTGGCGAGAATTCGTCGGGCCTGGTTGCAGTAGTCGGTCGCCGTCTCCTGGTCGCCCATACGCAGGTGTGTCAGCTGCCCCTCCAGTTGGGCGATGAACAAGTCGTCGGTGACTTGGTAGGTCGACTCAATGAAGTGCCACGCCTGGTGGCCGGCGTCGAGGTACTCCCGGCACCACTTCAAGGCGATTTGCACGCCCGGCGAGCAGCACCGTGAGATGACCGTGAAGGTCAACAGCTGCACAGCGCGGAACTCAGCTCGCAAGTCGGGGTCGCTCGGCGTCGCCACGGTACCTCGAGCGAAGCTGATCAGCCCGGCCATCTCTAGCTGGGGCTCGATGGCCTCCTTCCAGGTGAGTATGTCGGGTCGACCGACCAGCGGGGGAGTCACCGAGATCCTATCCGGCGTGAACTTAAAGTAGCCGTAGCTCGGTGCAATTCCGCCCGCCGTCACCTGGGACGCCGACATCGGCGTCAACCCGCTTCGTCGACCTCCGACGTCGCCCTGCGAGGTGCCCGCAGCCGACGTCGACCGCATCCCTCGCCCTTGAACGCCGCCGACTTCGTCGGCGTGAATCACACCACGCTGCCTCGACGTGCCTCCCGCACTGCTGCCGACTTGGTCGCCCCCGGCGTTGACGCCCACGTCGACACCGCCGTCAGTGTTCACCGGTCGAGGAGAAGCAGGCCGAGAAGGGTGCTCCGTCGCCCACAAGGAACGGATGCCAGCCTCGACGACCGCCCACGGCAGGTCGCCATACTCGTTGGCCTCGTGCTTCCTCCTCGCGTTTTCCAGCCGTGCCTCCAGGGTGTCCACCACCCCCGTGTCACCTACGACGCCTACCATGGTGACTACCGCACAGCTGCCGGCCTACGAACAACTTAGGTAAGGTGCCACTAAGTCGACTAGACTGAAAGGTAAGTCGTTGTGCCGTCCACGCTCACCGCACCATGCGGAGATAACTACTACAACGGGAGCTAGACTACGGGCTAGGCACGGGTGCTCGTGTGATCTCTGCGTTCGTTGGTCCTTAGTCGTTTTCCTAGTGCACACACTGCTTGCTAGTTCACAAGACAATTTGGCAAGAGTTTCACTAGAGAAAGTTGACAACAATGATACAATAATGTTGGCAAGACAAGACTACATCAGAGCTAGGATGCAAGCAGGTCGACTGCCAGCGCAGCACGGTCGACCGCGTGCCAGCACGACTTGGTCGACCGCGCTCCAGCAGTGCAGAGACGCGGCTTGCCAACGCTGCAGGTCGACGGCGTGACAACAGCGCAAGTCGACGGCGTGCCAGCGTTGCTCCTGCAGTCCAGCATCGCACCCGCTTCGCAGGTGCTCGTAGATGATTGGCGTGCACTGCTTCGTCACCTGCACAGCGCACACACCAAGTCCACCTCGCGCTGACGACTGCATCTGATGCACCACGTCGACCTCGGGATACCATCACCGAGGTCGTCCTTGCCAAAACCACCTGGGCGACCTTCGCAAGCCTTCGCAGCACCTCGTCACCCAGGTAACTTGGTCGACCGGGCAACCAGGTCGACCAGAGGCTCCAGTGCGTGCCCGTCGACCACCCAGGTCGACGACCACTTCCGGTCGACCTCCCAGGTCGACCACTGCCTCTGGTACGTGCCGGTCGACCTCCCAAGTCGACGGCCACCTCCAGTCGACCTCCCCAGGTCGACCACTATCCCCTGGTCGACCAGCTCCAAGTCGACGTCACTCCTGGTCGACCAGAAGGCCTGGTCGACGTCCCTGGTCGACCAGAAGGGCTGGTCGACTTCCCAGGTCGACCAGAAGGTTTGGTCGACATCTCAGGTCGACCAGGAGGTCTGGTCGACGTCCCAGGTCGACCAGAAGGGCTGGTCGACTTCCCAGGTCGACCAGAAGGTCTGGTCGACGTCCCAGGTCGACCAGAAGGGCTGGTCGACTTCCCAGGTCGACCAGAAGGTCTGGTCGACGTCCCAGGTCGACCAGAAGGGCTGGTCGACTTCCCAGGTCGACCAGCCGAAGTTGGCGCCCTCCTGAAGTCGGCGCCCATGCAGTGGCTCCCCGTGCAGGTCGACCAACCTCGTCGACCAACTCGCCCACTGCTGCAGGTCGGCTGCACCCTACACCCAACCACGAAGTCGGCTCCGCCCAAGCGAGGACGGGGCCAACATACAACTCCCGTTGACATGGTGTCATGTCAAGAAACATGGGGTGCCATGTCAAGGGCATGGGGCCAAGATGCACTCTAGGATGGCGTAGATGGGGGTCGTGAGGGTGGGGGAGGAATTTTGGTGGTGAGGTGAGTGTGGTATGAGTGGTGGTTTGTTAAGGGGAAGAGGTGGGGAACGTGAGGGTGGGATGGATGGCGTTGTGAGGGTGGGATGGTTGGTGGTGGTTGTGAGGTTGGGGGAAGGGGGGGGATTGTGAGGTGCCCCAAAAGTCGAATCAAGCCAGCCCTACTTTTGGCCCACTCATTTGTCTCTTCCCGTCAGTTTTGGAATTTCTCAAAGTGAGGTGTGTGCATGTATGCTTGGGCACTAATACTGTCTCAACTCGAGTCAAGGGACCAAAACTCGTATGCATGCATGCGGGTCCTCGCATGCACACCCGCATTCCACTCTTTCCTTTTGATAGCACACACCCACATCTTTTCACTGCATGACCCACACACATCCAAACGGTGTTCCTTACCTTCAATCTGCCCCTTCTCTCCCCGTCTTCCTCACACTACATTTCCTTTCTCAGAATCTCCGTTCCGTTGCCTCTCCTCTCTCTCGTCATTCTCCCCCTCACCCCCAATTCCGGACTTGGTCTCCTTGTCGCATCGCTCTCAATGGCAGCACCCTACATATGAACAACTTGACCGGACCCATTTCCATCCTGCATCACTTCAGCTTTCTCACCTACCTGTGATCCCTCCCCCCCCTCTCCCGTGCGCACCCGTGCGCTCGCCCTCGCCCTGCTACTTTTCTTCCCTTTTGCCCGCGCTTTGCTTCCGTCCATACAGCTCTGCTCACTCCTGCTTCTTCCTTTCCTGTACCTCTCCATTTGGGTGTGTGCTGTGCTGCTCGTTCCCCTTCATCCGCTGAACGCTCTCTAGAGGAAAATTGATGCTGATCCAGTGAGCAATGCCAGCATCTCTAAAGAAAAAGAGATGCTGCATCTCTGTTTCTATTCTCTCCACCCTCTGCACGCTGCCATCTGCCACTGCCACCTCCCTCCTGCCATCTCCCCCCTGCCCCTGCCATCTCCCCCCTGCCATCTCCCCCCTGCCATCTCCCCCCTGCTATCTCCCCCCTGCCATCTCCCCCCTGCCATCTCCCCCTGCCATCTCCCCCCTTCCATCTGCCCCCTGCCATCTGCCCCCTGCCATCTGCCCCCTGCCATCTGCCCCCTGCCATCTCCCCCCTGCCATCTGCCCCCTGCCATCTGCCCCCTGCCATCTCCCCCCTGCCATCTGCCCCCTGCCATCTGCCCCCTGCCATCTCCCCCCTGCCATCTGCCCCCTGCCATCTGCCCCCTGCCATCTCCCCCCTGCCATCTGCCCCCTGCCGCCTTTCCACTGCCCTGTGCCTTGCCTGTAGAGACCTCTCCGATAATCAGTTTGATGGGCCCGTCCCCTCTTCCATCTCCCAGCTCTCTCTTCTCACGCACATGTGAGCACCTCCCTCCTATCCTCAGGCTTGCATTACTAGCAATGAGTAACACAGAACAGTTAGCATATGCCATGCATGCCACATGCCACATGCCACTTGCCACATGCCTCTTGCCACATGTCATATGGCACATGCCAGTGCCTCACGTTACACGTGTCTCTCCCAACCATGTCGCATGGCACATGGCAGAAACCTTAAATCAACCAAGATTGCAGGGCCCATTCCCTCCACCATCTCTGCACTCCATAAACTCGAAACTTCGTAAGATCTGCATGGGTGCGGCCATGCATGGGTGCTGCTGTGCATGGGTGCTGCTGTGCATGGGTGCTGCTGTGCATGGGTGCTGCTGTGCATGGGTGCTGCTGTGGATCCATGCAGGCAACAGCACCAGCGTCAACGATCTGCTATCCTATGCCTTTTGCCTTCACTCCATATCACATACATTCTGTTGGATGCACGTCATTCTGAGTGCATGTCATCCTAACGTCCTGCCGAGTGCTCGTGCTATTTGTGCTTGCATGATTTGCATGAGCATATGTCATTGTGCATGGCTGTTGGATATTATCATCTCTGTGTTTTCTCCAAGTCTAAATGCTTGATCATGCAGGAGAAATCCAGAGCTTTCCAACGATACCAAGATCGCCTTATTCCGACCAAGATCGCCCAAGTTACAAGATTTCCAAGACTTGGATTTCTTATTACCTCTTTGGGGTTATATCTAATTTGGGTGATTATTGGGACATGACTATAAAGGGATCTTTGGTTGGGTGGTTAGGAAGGCAACTTTGACTTTTGGATTGGGGTGGCTAGAAGTTTCTAGCATGGGTTGCAAATGTTGCAACACCTAGGCAAAATCCAACTAGATTGGATTTTGCATGTGACACCTCAAGGACCTCATGATGAGGGTTGCATCCTTGCTGCTAGGAAGGTTCCTACCATCCTTCCCTAGCTCTTGGAGAACCCCTTCCCTCTCATGGTTCTCTTGGAGGTCCCCAACTCCAACTTTCTATGCTTCATGCTTGTACTTCCTCCATCATTCTAGTCATGCAGCAGCTTGACGTTTTCGAATGGTTCTCACTCTCTAGACCATCTTTTTAAGTGATTCAAATTGGAGATGGTAGCTAATCCGAAGGCGCAACTTCCTACCAAGCGGATTTGCGTTTAGTTGAGTAATGAGTTCGTCGTAGCTTCTCGAAGTGACGGATCCTGTACAACAAGTGGTATCAGAGCGGGTAGTCGACTAAGAGACGACGAATGGTAGTCAATTCTCAACCAATGTTGACGAGTGAGACCATTTTCTAGTAGCTCTGCTCGCGAACTTTCGATTGGTGGTCGGATCGCGTTCTAATTCAAAATATCCTGTCCGCGACGGCGATTTTCGTAAAGTCGAAATTTCTGGCAGAATCTTGTGCAAGCGATTTCTCAAGTTTCCACCGTTCATAAGGCCTCAATATGACTGGAACGGACTCCAGAGGTGCTAATGGCGAGATGGCTGGAGCTAGAGAGGCTGGAGAGCAGGGGGGAGTTGCTGGTGGTGGAGTGGGGACTCACCAACCAGCCAACCCTACGCTACCCTCGACCTCTACGACATCTCCAACAACCGTGGATCCCGTGAAGGCGTTCTCTATCGAGAAATTCATGGGGGAGGACTACGAGCACTGGAGCTTCCGCATGAGGCTGATGTACACCCAATACAAGCTATTGGACCTGGTGGAGGGGAAGGAGAAGATGCCGGAGGCCGCGGAGCTGAAAGGAGCGTGGATGAAGCGATCGTTCGACGCGTACATGCTCATGGTGCAAGCGGTTGGGGGACGCCAGCTTGACCACATCAAGGACCTCTTGGGTGATCCAGAGTGTGGCCCCAAGGCTTGGAGGAAGCTTCTGGATGTGCACTCACCGACACACGCTACCGGCATCGTGCTACTCGCGCGGCGGCTGCGCGACATCAAGTTCGTTGATGGAGAGCCGATGCAACCGGTGTTGGACGAGATGCGCGACATCTTTACGAAGCTCCAAGGCGGTGGTGTGGTGTACCCGGAGCTCGTGCAGTGCGTGGAGATCGTGATACGGCTGCCGGAGTCGTGGTCTGCCCTTGCGATCAACCTCAACTCTCAACAGCCCCAGTGGAGCGTGGATTACATTCGCGCGCGCATCCTAGAGGAGGACTTGCGGCGGCGGAGTGTGGAGCGCTCGGAGGAGGGGGCTGGCTATGGAGTTGGAGGTGGAAAGAGTGGCTTCAAGAAGAAGTGGAAGGGCAAAAATAAGGACAACACGAAGGAGGATGGCGGCGGGGGTCAAGGGGAGGTGTGCTTCTACTGCAAGAAGCGCGGACATCGTTGGCGGAAGTGCTACCAACGACCCAAGGATTGGACCCCGCCTTCATCAAGCAACCAGCATGGTGGCAAGAGGAGTGGGGGAGTCATGGGAGCTAGTGGAGAGGAGAAGGATGAGGAGAAAGGCGGCAAATCTGAGGAGCGGAAGGCCGGGTTCTTCTTCTTCGTGAACGAAGGTGCAACCGACCTCGCTATGGCTGCCAAGGTTCTCCTACACCCCCTCACCCATTGGGTGATTGACTCGGGAAGCTCCTGGCACATGACTCCTCGTGCGGACCTACTCGATGAGATTCAGCCCGCACCCATCTCTACAGTCAGATCCGCGACGGGCGCCAAGGCCAAGGTCATGGGCATGGGATGCGCCAAGTTCATGGGAGCGGATGGAGAGCTCGTGGGGCTGAAGAACGTGCTGTGGGTGCCGGACTTGTGCGCGAACCTGATTTCTACCGGCCGGTTGGGAGATGCAGGTGTGAACACCGAGACGATTGGCTCGGTGCGCTATCGTGCCTACAACGATGAGCGGCTGATTTGGGACCTGCGGCAGAAAGGGGGTGTCCACAAGGGCATGTGGCAGATCCCGGTCCTCCCCTGGTGGAAATCGGGCAAGGCGGCAGCAATGGCATCAATGGAGGAGAGCGTCACTGAGGAGGAGCAGCAAGGTGTGCAAGGAGAGGAGCTGATTGGAGGAAGTGCAGTGGTGAAGGCGTCGGCTACCTCGGGCCAAGCGGATTGGGAGACTTGGCATCGGCGGCTCGCACACGTGGCTGTTTCTACATTGGAGGTGATGCACAAGGAGAAGTGCGTGCATGGGCTGCAGCTGCAAGGAGATGGCGCTCACTATGGCAGCTGCGAGGCGTGCATGCAAAACAAGTTTGCGCGGTTCCCGTTTCCACGTGCGGAGGGATCAGCCAAGGCACCATTGGAGGTGGTGCACATCGACCTAGTGGGTCCTATGAGGACGGAGGGGACTGGGGGAGTGCTGTACTTCCTCACCATGGTGGACGAATGGAGCAGATTCACATGGGCTCGTCCCTTGTCCAAGAAGAGCGATGCTGCAGCGGCGATCAAGGAGGATTGGTTGCCGATGGTGGAGCGGCAAGCGATGCGGCTGGTGAAGGTGCTGAGGAGCGACCGTGGTGGAGAGTTCCTTGGAGCGGAATTCACCAAGTTTCTCAAGAGGAACGGCATTCGACACCAGCTGACCTGCCCTGGAACACCGCAGCAGAACGGCATTGCTGAGCGTGCCAACCGGACCATTGGCGAGGCGGCTAAGACTCTGTTGGGGGCTGCAGGGATGCCCTACAAGTTCTGGCCTGAAGCTGTTCGCCATGTCATCACGGTCAAGAACAGGGTCTTGACACACGTTGGCGACAAGCACTGGGTGCCGTACGAGCGTTGGCTTGGGAAGAAGCCATCCATTGACATGCTGCGGGTGTGGGGCTGCATGGGGCTTGTGATGGTGCCTAAGGAGCAGAGGCACAAGCTGGAAGTTGCTGCTGTGTGGGCTGTCCATCTTGGAGGGGTTGGAGGATGAGTCGGCACGTGTGGACTCACCATCTCAGCCCGAGCCTGCTGCAACTGCCAAGGTCACCAAGAGGAGTGTGCAGAAAGGAGCTTCACCACATGGGCAGCAGACTGCAACCCGCGAGAAGAGAGTGGCAGCAGCACCTTCAAGGCTGAAGTATAGCCGTTTGGGAGGACCCAAGCAAGGTGCCATGGCGGTTCAGGCGGATGAGGGAGAGGATGAGGAGATGGCCTTCTGTTTCTTCACACCCTTGCCTGGAGAACCAGCCACAGTGGAGGAGGCACTGAGTGGACCCCAGAAGGAGGAGTGGAAGGCTGCCATGGATGCAGAGTTCAACAGTCTCATTGAGAATGGGACTTGGGAGCTTGTTGAGTTACCCGAGGGGCGACGGCCGATCAGCAGCAAGTGGGTCTTCAAGGTGAAGAGTGGAGCTGATGGTGCGCTGGAGCGGTTCAAGAGCCGCTTGGTCGCCAAGGGGTTTCAGCAGAAAGAGAAGGTTGAATTCAAGGAGATCTTCGCTCCCGTTGTGAAGCAAGCAACATTGAAGACTGTGATGGCTGGTGCAGCTGTGAAGGGATGGCACGTGAAGCAGATGGATATCACCACAGCGTTTCTCAATGGAATACTGCTGGAGGATATCTACATGGCGCAGCCCGACGGCTATGAGGATGGGACCAGCCGGGTGTGCAAGCTTAAGAAGGCTATCTATGGCCTTAAGCAAGCGCCCAGGTGCTGGTACGAGAAGCTGGAGGAGGTGCTGCTGAGTGGAGGCTTCAAGACGTCCCAAGCGGATCACAGCTTGTTCCTGCTTGGAGAGGGGGAGCAGCTGCTCTTGCTGCTGGTGTATGTCGATGACATACTGCTGTTCTCACCTTCCATGGAGCAGATTGAGAGGGCACAGAAGCTGCTAGTGGACAACTTCAAGTGCAAGATGCTGGGGGATGTCCACTACTACTTGGGGCTGCAGATTGAGAGGGATGTTGAGAGGAGGTGGCTGAAGGTGCATCAGTCACACTACATCTCTGGTGTCATGGAGCGCTATGGTGTGACTGGAGGTCGCACTGTGATGACACCGTTTCCTGCAGGCTTCAAACTGAAGAAGGCAGCTGAGGAGGATGATGTGCTTGAGGATGAGCAGCAGAATGAGTACCAGTCACTCATTGGGAGTGTGATGTATGCAGCTGTGCATACGCGACCTGATGCTTCATTTGGAGTGGGGCAGCTGGCCAGAGTTGTGCAGCGGCCCACTGAGGAGCATTTGGAGGTGGCAAAGCGCTTGGTGCGCTACCTCGGATCAACGGCATCTGCTGGTGTTCAGTTTTCAGCTGGTGGCCAGCTGAAACAGATTGGAGCAGATGGGATCACGCCTGGAACCTTGAAGCTGTCGTGCTTCACCGACGCTA